CTCCTGCGGCTCCACGGTGCTCCGGGGCGAGGCTGGGGGCGGCAGGGCCAGTCACCTCCCTTCAGCCGAGGACACGGGACAGCCAGGGTCAAGTCCCAGCCCCGTCCCCCAGCAGCTGGGTGGCCGGGGCAAGTCTGTGCCTCGGTTTCCCTAACTGTCAACCGCGGATAATGAAAACACCAGATGCCACACAGAGAAGATGCAGCGGAAGTTGCTAGAATGGCCCTTGGCACCCCAGAAGTGCTCAGGACACATGGCTTGGTGGCAGGGCTGGGGACACAGTGTGCCGTGGAGAGGAGGGTTGGGCCTGGGCATCCAGCTTCAGGGGCGCGGCCGGTGTCACAGGGCCGCCGGCCACGGAGCCGGGCTCCCCACCCCAGGCGGTTCCCCTCCCAGCCCGGGCTTTCCTGGACTCCCCACTACTGCTGCGTGACTCATCGACCGGCTTCTGTGTGACTCACTGACCGCGTTTGATTCCCTCTGGGCACCCTGTGCCTGGGACTGGTCCAGCACTTAATATTTCCTGATTGACTTCTGAGAAGGCCAGGACAGTCCCGAGCACAGAGGGGATTGGAAAAGGCTGATTAGGGGATGGAGGGCTGGGCACACAGGCTCCCTGCTCCAGTTCCAAGAGGAAGGCCTGTTGGATCCGCCCCCTTCAGAACAAACTACTAGCACGCCTGTAATCCCAGCACTCTGGGAGGCCGAGGCAGGAGGGTCCTAAATTAGAGCCCAGCCCGGTCAATTTAGCGATTTAGCGAGACCCAGTCTCCAAATAAAAATAATAATAAAATTTAAAAAGGCCTGGGGATGTGTGAAGGTTCTGGGTTCAATCCCAGTACCCCACCAAAAGTAAGCGGGAGGCGGAAGAAACCAGTGCCCAAGCTGGAGGTGGGCTGCGAACTCAGGGCCCCTCCCAGCTCCTTCCCAGCCCCTCTCCGCTCCTCCTCCCTCCCGCCTGCACCCCCCACCCCCGCTCACCCAGCACTCTCAGCTGGGTGCTGTTGCTGGCGGTGCCCTGTGGGAACGTGGCGATCCGGCACGTGTAGGTGCCTTCGTCCTCTGCACGCAGCTCGGACACCGTGAGGCTGGCGTTTCTCAGATCCGCGCCGGGCTTGGCATTCGCGAAGTTCACCCGCTCGGGCTCCTGGACGTTGGGGCCCCGCGTGGGGTGGAAGACGGCCACGGTGTGGACGGGCCCCGCCAGCTGCTGGTGCTCCCAGGTCTGCTGGGTGACGTTCGTGCCCGGCTCCAGGGACTGCAGCTGACACGGCAGCGTCACCGACTGGCCCAAGAGGCCGCGCACCTCGGGAGGCACCTGCACGCTCAACGTTCCGGGTCCTGCGGGAAACCACAGGCACCGATTATAGCCGGGGAAACCGAGGCACAGAGTCGCTTGACAGAGGTCCTCAGGGTAAGCAGGAAGGTGGGCTTTGAGCCTGGGCTGTCTGCCGTCCAGCGGCCCCGCGGAAATCTCTGTGCCTCCCTTGCAGGGCACGCAGGTCCTCAGCCTGTCTTTGCTCTGCTGACCTTAGTAAACGTAACGCTGTGCATTCTTTTTACTGCGAGACGGTGCGAAGGAGTCAAATTCTCAGAGCTCCGGCCCTGTCCTCCTAGCAGGGGCCCTCGTGCAGGTGGGTTTTGTCTTTTGAGCCTCAGTTTCACCTGTAACATGGCTCTGTCGTTTGAACCGTATGTGTCCTACAAAGGTCCTGCAGTACGGGCTTGGCCTCTTTAAGAGGCGCGGTCTAAAGTCCAGCTGCCCTGTCACCCTCCCACACTCCCAGGGCAGCGCCAGCTCATTCTCAGGATCCCATATGTGGAACTTCTTGCGGGCTCCACGAGATGTGGGCCACATAAAAGAAGACCTGAAGCCTTAGGTCTTTGTCCGAGGGAGGAAGGACCTGGGATATTTTTGATTGGAGAGCATTGCTAAGGAAACTACCGGTTGACCCTGTACTGAAAGAAAAAAGAGGTGGGCCCAGGGAGGTTACACCACTGGAGGTGCGACCCAGAAGGGACTGTGGACTCTGGTCTCTCCTGTTTTCTTTTTTTTTGGTACCAGGAATGGAACTCAGGTCCTTGCCCTTGTGAAGCAGGGAGCGGAACCATTGAGCTAAGTCCCCGTTTTCGTTCTCTTTTTGCTCCTGTTTTTTTGCTCCTGTTTTCGTTCTCTTGACTCTAGACTGAGGTGAGCGCTGGTTTTGTTCCACCAGGCTCCGCCCACTAAGATATGCTGCCCCTGCATCCGGGGCTCGGCCCTGCTCCTCCGTAAAGGGACTGGTTCAGGGTTTTGCTGCGGTGAGGGAAAGCTGGCTGACACACGCAGGTGGTGGTCATCAGGAGGGTGAGGTGATGAAAATCTCATGGGGCTGTTACGCAGCCTGGGGCTCCATCGTGGTGAATATGAGCTGGGGTCGGGAGGGGCCCAGGCAGGGCCCAGGCAGCTAGGGGTGGATGGCGAACGTGGGCTTTGAGTGCCTGACTCTGCCCCAGCTCTGTGTGGCTCTGGGTAAGGGCGTCCCCTTCTCTCAGCTGGGTTCCTCCTCTTGCCTGTCCAAACTGCCTTGGGAATGAAGTTGGGCGAGGCCAGCCGGGCATGGTGGTGCACGCCTGTAACCCCAGCCCTCTGCGAGGCTGAGGCAGGAGGACTGCAAATTCAGGCCTGGCTTGGGCAATTTAGCAGCCGGTCGGGACCCTGTCTCAAAAGTAGGGGGCAGGGATGTGGCTCAGTGCAAAAGCCCTGCGTTCAGTCCCCATATGAAGAAAAGGGAATGGGGTGGGGCAACCAGACCTGAAGCCTCTTCCAAGGGCCCCCGCGGCCCCCCACAGCCACACTGGTACTCGTGTCCCACTAGACACAGGAAGCGTGAGTGGGAGGGGAAGTCACTGGCCGGGACAACCAGCCAGGGAGGGGTCCAGCCCGGCCTCACGTCGGCCTGCCCTGATCTGGCAGTGGGGGTGGCCCCGTCACTGAGTCGCTCATTCATTCAGCTCAGGCACTTCCTGCCTCACCATTCTCCCGGCTCCCATACCCCCCATCCTGGGAATTTCCCCTGGGCGGGGTCAGCGACCTTCCAGCTCCCTCAGCTGGGGAAGTGCCAGTGTTCCGCGGGGCACCTTCAGGGAAAGGCCACAATGAGGAACTCGGCCCTGCACGCGCTATTATTACCGTTCGCGGCATGGCCATCGCCGATTGCATCCCGGCCAGACCCGGGGGACACTCGGTGAAATACCCACCTCTCCGCGGTCCCCACTTCCTCCTAATGAACCGTCGAGGTCACTGCTATGAAATGCCAAAAGCTGACCGCTGGGGGGCGCTGTTTCCCGAGTGCCCGGAACACTGCCGGGCACACTAGGGTGGGAGTGTGGGGGGACCATTGCATGAATTTGACAGAATGAAGCCACCCCTGTAATCCCAGCCTTCTGGGAGGCTGAGGCAGGAGGATCACAACTTTGAGCCCAACCTGGGCAATTTACACTTGACAAGACCCTACCTCAAAAAAAGAAAAACTTAAAAATAAGAGTGAGGGAGGGGTGGGCATGTAGCTCAGCGCCAAGCGCCTCGGTTCAATCGCCAGTACGAGGAGAATGAATGAAAGGCCGGGCCAGCCTTCCAGTCCTCAGCCCCACCCCTTCTCCCATCGCGGAGATGGACGTGGCCCAGGTGACGGCGGGAGGCGACTAATTTTACCTCCTGGATTAAGGCTCAGCTGAGTTTCCGGGAAGCCGGGCCCTTTCCACGAACCTCCGCACCCAAGTCCTCCACTTTCCCCAGGACAGAGGGAGGCCCTGGCCCGGCCGCCCGCGTCCTGCTTTCCTGGGCGCACGGTGGTGGCGAAGGGGACCCAGGAGGCCGAGGTAGGGGCCCGCGCGGGGACACTCACCGGCTCCGGAGGGCACCGAGGAGAGCGACAGCAGCCACAGCGCGGCCAGGGCCATGCTGGCCCGAGGCTGAGGCGGCGCTGTCATTCGCTCCTCTGACAGCCGCCTTAGTGGCGACAGAGAGCGATCGGATTGCAGAGGGACGAGGGACGGGAGGGGACATTGCCACCGCCCCCTCGCCCGGGCCTGGGGCGGGGCAGGACGCGCAGGGCAGGGGTTCCGGTTCCCGGCGGGATGACTGGCACCAGGGGGTGGGGGTGGGGACCTCGCTGGGCTGGGCCTGGCGGCCGCGGACCTCATTTCTCACCGTGGCCCTGGGCGGTGATGCAGACACCAGTATCACCAACGCTTCCTATAGAAGAACTGTACTGTTCCGGGTCGAAAATGAGGTGTGCAGAGATTTGCAGCGCACTAAAGGCTGCTGAGTGGCAGAGCTGGGATAAGCCAGTTGTGGGGGCAGCGGGGCAGGCTGTCATCCTAGCCTAGCCCTCTAGGAGGCTGAGACAGGAGGATGGAAAGTTGGAGACCGGCCTGGACAACTTAGCAAGATCCTGTCTCAAAATTTAAAAATGAAACAAGCAAACAAACAAACAAACAGAAAACAACGGGCTGGGGATGTAGTTTTCAGTGCAAAGGCCCAGGGTTCAGCCCCAGTATCACAAAAAGGGAGACGGGGCGGATGGGGGTCCACCAGCCAAACACATCCCAGGCAAGCTGCTTCCTGCGGGGCCTCAGTTTCCTCTCCTGAAGACCCAGCGTGATGACAGGGCTCACTCCTGGAGGTGTGTGTGAGGCTGGAACAGGAAGCTCTCTGCCCAGCAGCCGGCCAGAGCTTGCACTCAGCGAAGAGCAGCTATGCAGAGGGACAGCCGTCATGATTCCTGTCTTCCCGCTACAACCACCAGCGAATAACACCAGGTCAGGCCGGGGTGTGGCTCAGGGGCAGAGCAGGTGCTTAGCGTGTGTGGGTCCCTTTGTTGGTCCCCAGCACCCAAAATCAAGCTGATATGTTAAGTACAAGTAGGTGCTGCTTATGAGAGCAATGGTTCACTTCTTCCTCGTTCCGCTTTTCTGGTTCCCATTCCTGGCCTTCCTCGGGGACGGCAGCAGAGAATGCAGCTGACAGCCACCCCTCTGCAGAGTCTGGGTGCTGGAGGAGGGGACGGATGGGGACCGACTGATGCGCAGAACTCCGAGTCTGGAGGGATGGGATTAGGGTCAATGAGGTACAGTGTGGGGCTGGGGGACCGAGCTGGGGAGGGAGAGAGAAACGGACAGGAGAACGGAAGAGGGGCCAGTGTGGTGGCGCTCTGGGAGGCTGAGGCAGGAGAGTCACAATTTCGAGTGCAGCCCTGGCAATTAAGTAACTTAGTGTGACCCTATCTCAAAATAAGGAATGAAGAAAGAAAAAAGGGTGGTCAGTGGGAAGGCCCTGTTTCGAGCCTCATTGCTCCCCCCGAAAAGGGCAGAGAATGAGAGTGAGATTTGACAAGACAAAGATGAAGGAGGAAAGCGTGGTTACAGCAGGGGCTCAGAGCCCGGGAGGTATCCTGGCCCCCAGGGTGTCCCTCCAGGCCAGTGTCCGTGGGGCTCCCTAGCAGCTCTGGTCCCTTATCCCGAACATCGCGGTATATTTCTCGGCAACTCCTTCTTTGGGTTTTGGCTCCTTTGGAAAGTTCTGTCCCTGGCCACCCCCTCCAATGCCATGGGTGCCAGCTGGGATGCCGGGTGGCTCTAATGGCCCTGGACATGTGCAGGTGAATTTCTGAATGAAATCACACAGGCGGGACTCCTGGAAATCTCTGTAATTTCCGGCATCCTTGTTCTGCTGAGTTATTTCCAAACTAGGAACTTGTGGCCGTGGTTATGTTCCTTCTCTGGGTCATGCTGTCATCATCAAAGCTGTCCCTCTCATCCCCCGCGCCTCTCAGGCTGCCCCTCTGCTGCAGAGTTTGATTTGTCACATCTGGGGTCCCTCACCCTATAGGGAATAGGGCAAGCGGACATTACCAGAAGCCCTGTGGCGGTCCTGGTCTCCTGTGAGCCATGACGGCACAAGGTGAATTAAAGAATAAAGGCAAGAAATGAGACTTAAAGAAGCAGAGCTTTGGGCCTGATCAGTGCTACTCACCCCGAGCTTGTCACGCCTTTATTTGGCTCATTGGGAGTAGCAGATGACTTAGAGGCGCCCCGATAATCCTAGGAGGGTGAGGTAGTTATGTTGATAAGGAATTTTCCCTCCCCAGGTGAAACTTTCTCTTACTGCTTGGTTCTCAAGGAACCAGAATGTTTTGAGCGGATGTAGTCCTGCCCTGGAGCGCCACAGCCTCACCAGATCACTGAGGTTTTAGCTGTGACGGGAGGCAGAAATGAAGTCATGTCTCCACACACCGCGGCTGCCCTGGAGGCAGGGAAACTAGATGTAATCATAATTTAATTGTGAAATGACTCTTCCCCCAGTTTATCTAGACTTGCTTCTGACATTACACCCATTCCGCCTCCTCCCCCCTGGGCGTTGAACTCTGTGGTGGTACAGAGGAGGTTTTGGCCCTGAGCAATTTCACGTCATGAGATGATTCAGCCTCTCAAGTGTGAAGCTCAAGCTTGGTGACAAAACCCAGCTGGGTGTAGCACGCACCTGTAATCCCAGCACTTGGGAGGCTGAGGCAGGAGGATCATTGCAAATTCGAGGCCAGCCTGGGCTGTATAGTGAGTTTAAGGCCAGCCCAGACTATATAGCAAGACCTGTCTTAAATGTCTCAAAAAGCAAACAAACAGACAAGACAAAGCTCAGCATGGTGGCCCATGATTATATTCTGAACTTTGAGGAGGCTGAGGCAGTAGGCTCACTAAACGTTCGAGGTCAGACTGGGCTACTTGGTGAGGCATTGTCTCACACTAAACTAAACAAAAGAGTGGGGACAAGGCAGGGTTGAGGGCAGGGACAGGCAAAGGTTGAGGGGTCAGGAAATAGGAAAGACTCAGGGAAGGGACTAGGATGTGGGTTAGGGTCATCAGGAGGAGACGGGGCTTCCGTGGCTGATATTCCTGGGCAAAAATAGTAATTCAGCTACTATACAGTGGGAAGGCCCAAAGGTCTGTGCTGCCCACATGGCTGAATTAAGTCAGATGCTTGTTTCCGGGGGGCGCGGGAGCAGGTGGGAGGAGCCTGTGGGGGAGGGAGGTTGCTATTGGTTGGATAGGTGGTCAGAGCTAAGAAGCTGTGTCATTCTGCTAACCACTCTCCACCTCTGAGTCCTGGGGGCCCAGGGGTGAGGGATTCAGTGAAGTGCCCCTCTGGGCTCCTACAGCTCCGTAGACTCCCTCACCTTGCGCCTTTGTCCCCCTGTATCCATTCAGCTAGTACATATTTATTGAGCACCTACTATGTGCTACACCTGTCCAGCTGCAAGAGACCCGTGAGCGAGAGGTTGCGTGAGGGGACGGAGGTGGGGAGAGACGGATGGTAAGGAGGGAGGCAGGGGCTACGTCGGCAAGGTGGAGGCTGCAGATGGCAGAAGATAGGATTTGTTTGACTCACAGTCACCCTGGCACTTCAGTGGAAGGGAGCCAGCGACTGGTCGAGAGAGCAACCAAACTGCACTCGCAGGAGGAAGGATGGCAGGTGTTCACTGATTTGCTCAGACGGGACGGAGCCCAGTAAGTGCCACGGCCAGAGGCTCTGACCCGAAAGAAGCGGCAGGCCGCATCTTGGCGGTCACGGTCCTCTCGTCCTAGAGGCGCTGAGTTTTCAAGTATCTGGCGCCGTCCTGCACATCCCGGCCTCGCGCGTCGTGGGCTGACACGAAGTCCGCTTTGCTCAGGATCTGCCGAGCTTCTACCGCCGATGTCCTCTCCCGGCCACAGGGAGAGGACGTTCAGTGTCCGAGGAAGCGGACATGGGGCAGCTCCCGCGGGCAGAGGCCAAGCTCACCGGGTCTGCGTGCAGAGCCCAGTGGCACCTGACCCCAGGGGACAGATGTGACGAAGACACAAGTGTGGCCTTTTCCGCCCATTTCAGTCGCCATCCAGATAGCTGCAGGTCAGCGGAGGACCCGTGTGCTCAGCCAAAGCAGCCTCCGGTCCCCTGGAAGTAACGGCGGGGGGGGGGGCCC